GGGGGAGGGGGACAGAGGGAGCGTGTTGAAAATAGCAGGGTTGTAAGAAGAATGAGTAGCTGGGGGAGCGGGGAGGGAAGCCCATGAGCGGGAGAGAGTAGGGGAGGAGGTGAGAAGAGCTACTTTGAAACAGGTACCTGTGATTCTGGGGGAGCCTGGGGGCCAGCATCCACTTTGGTATGCTAATAAGCACTACAGGAAGCCTTTTAAGGCGTCCCTTCTACTAGAGATATGGGAAACAGCTTTGCCTTCACAAATTCCTGAGAAATGTTGGCTTTTATCTAACCATCAGAAATCCTCCTGGAGTCCAAGTTGAGCCTGTTTCTGGACATTTGGACTGCCCTTTGGAGTTTGAGAAACTGGATTTTCATTTGGAACTAACACTGCAGACTGGCAAACTAGCCTTCAGCACGTGGCTTTTGGGGGTCATTTAAGATCCAACCATAGCACTACCTTTCTTAAAAGAACCAACCAAATTGCACTTGCCAATAGCTGCTGCAGTCAGGTAGGCTTCTTTCCTAAGGCTTTGCAGCTGGAATATGTCAGACCATGAGTCCTAGTGGTCATCAGTCTTGAGAGGGCTTGGCCTGTGATTAGTAAAGGGTGGTGAATGTTTTTAACTAACCCATATTTGCCCCTAAGTACAGAGAAACTCTGGGTAAACAGCAAGCTGTGCTATTGTGAGGTTGGAAGCTAGTCTATGACATAGACAACAGAGGCTCATTTACTTTATAGGGAGAGAGAAGGAAGAAAGTGATGGGCCCATCAAGCCACTGCTGATACGCTATCCTACAACATCACTTTAGGTGGAGATGATGCTCCTAGATTTCCTAATAGGTGTCAAGAGTAACAGATAATGCAGCTTGAGACTGAATGCCACATTGGGAGCAACAGTGAACCAGAGCAGAGCCACAGCAGTGCAAACATCTGTACCAGGGCTGTTGTTGACACTTAACAGCTCTGTGATCTTCAGAAAGTTGCTTGGTGTCTCCGAGTCTTGATGTTCTTTGGAAAACAGAAATAAAATACATTCCTCATAATATTGAAAGGACAAATTGAGCTACTAATCACATGAAAGGCATCCAGCCTGGCACACAGCAAGAATTTAATAAACATGAGCTATGGAACAAGATATTATCAACATATATCCTTAGCACCTAGCCTCCATATTCCCATTTTCAGCTTAAGGATGGATAAATAGACATATTAGTATAGAAAACATATATATATATATATATATATATATATATATATATATATATATTCTACTATTCATTACTATCAGAGTCTAGAAACCTAAACATTCCAGAAGCAGTGTACATTCTGAGCACACTTGTATTTATTTGTATCTCCTTTTAAAATATGAGACAGAGTCTCACTATGCATAGGCTAGCCTGCAACTCCCTAAATAGTCTAGGGTGGCTTTGAACTTGTACTTCTTTTGCCTAAGCCTTCGTAATGATGAATGAGAGGTATTCTCCACCACACCCAGCTTCAAAGGGGAATTAAATATTGTTCATTACTTAAAGAACCAGAGATCCTTAAAGAAGAGGTTTCCAGTGTTGGGGCAAAGAAAGTCTAACCAGCCAAAGACAATTATGCCAGAAAGTAAGAAAACTCTAACAAATTAAATGTTTGTGTTCACAGGAGCCATCTGGAAGGCTTGTTCCAGCACTACATTCTTGCTCCCAATGGCGCCCATATTCTCACACCTGGAACCTGTGAATGGTACCTTATATGATAAAAGGAGCTTTGCAGTTGCAATTAAGGATCTTGAGATAGGGAGTGGATTACACAAGCAGGCCATCTTAGTTACTTTTCTATTGATATGAAGAGACACCGTGACCAAGACAACTTATAAAAGAAAGCATTTAATATGGGGGCTTTATAGTTTTAGAGGGTGAGTCATGACTATCATGGGGGTGGGGAGCATGGCAGGAGGCAGACAGGCATGGTGCTGGAGCAGTAGCTGAGAGCTTACTTCTTACCTGCAAGTTGGAGGTGTGTGTGTGTGTGTGTGTGTGTGTGTGTGTGTGTGTGTGTGTGAGAGAGAGAGAGAGAGAGAGAGAGAACCTGCTGTGGGCTTTTGAAACCTCAAAGTCTACCTCAGTGACATACTTTCTAAGCAGTTACATCAACGGGGGACCAAGCATTCAAAGACTATGGAGACCATTCTCATTGAAACCACCACACAGGCAGAGCTGTAATTGCCAGGGTTGTCAGAAAGGCCAGCCATGGAGGATGGCCCAGCGACAAGACAGAAGAAAGAAGCAGCATAAGATTCAAGATCAAACGATTCAAGATCCAGAAGACATGGAAATGAAACATCCAGAGGGGTCAGCCCTGTATACATTTGTGTTTAAAGTCACTAAGTTTGGGGTAGGTGTGGAGGCTGGGGGATTGGGGCAGGTCATCCTCTCTCTGTGCCAGTGGATAAACCATCTTCCGAACCCCTGCTGCTCTGTGATCTGATGACAAATTGTTGATGGGCTTGGTGAAATGCAACTTCCAACATCTCAGATTCAAGACATATGTATCTAGATAAAATCTCCAGTGCAATTCCTAGCCACTGACCTACTCCTCTATCAGTGTAGAATCCCAGCACAGAATCACCAATTGCCTTCCCAGGGTACATCCATTCCTGGGTTATTGAGTGACTGCCACACTGCTTAAAAGTGACAAGTCCTATGAAGATACTATCCCTGACACACTAAGTATTCAGTAAATATGTCCGAGGGCTCTGATGCTAGGAACAGTTCTACTTTGTTGACCCATCAGTGCCTCTTCTTGCATTTATGGAAGCCTCTATCAATGATCAATGCCATGGGCATATAAGTTAGAAGAGAACATGGGGAATCCTGCTCCCCCGCCCAATATGGTCCACACACCACCATGCTTTTGCTTTGATAAACACCATGACCAGAAGCAAATCGGGGTTGGGATGGGGCAGCTGAGGGTATTATCTGGCTTACAGGTTACAGTTAGGGAAGCCAAGGCAGAACTCAATGCAAGAACATGAAGCAGTAACCCCAAAGGGGATGCTTCTTACTGCTTTGCTTCCCCAGGATGACTCAGCTACCTTTCTCACTCAGCCCAAGCCCACCCAGGGATAGGCACTGCCCATGGTGGAATGGGTCCTCCTACATAATCAGAAATCAAGAAAATGCCTCACAGATATGCCCACAGATCAATACGATGGAAGCAATTCCTCATTTGAGATTTCCTCTTCCCGGGTATACCTAGGCTTTTGTCACATTCACAAAAACTAACCAGCATTTAGGGAAGAGTGCACAGGAGGGCCTGGTGGAGGGTGTCTTTGGGCAACCTGGAGTTGCCTGTGCTTGAGTAGGCTCTGAAAGGCGTCTTAAAACTACCAAGCCAACGAGTGACTGTCTCCCAGGAATCAAAGGGTCTCCCCTGACTCTCAAAGACCTGCTGGTCCGCAGCGCTCCTATCTAAGGGTCCCTGCCCCTCAGTCTCTGTCTCTCGGGGTCTGCCAGGTTCCATCGCTCTGCCCTGATGCGCCTTCTCGGTGCTTCCCCAGCGCAAATCTGGTTCTCCCATATGCATGTCCCTCCCTTATGGCGCGTTCCCGGCCCCTTCCTGACCGCGCCCCCTCCCCTCGTGCGTGTGTTCCCATTCCATTTCCCTTCACCGCCGCCGCTGCACCCATCCGGGATGGAATCCTAGCTCTCCCAACGAGCGTGCACTCGTTGCCAGGCAACGGGACGCGACTCACGGGCAGGTGGCAGGAACGTGAGTCAGATGCGCCCACCAAGGAGGCTGGAGCGGTGTCCTTAGAACTGGCTGACCCTCTAGGGTCTCTGCAGAAGCGATTCTCAAATTTACACCTTGCGAGTCTTGTGGGTCTCACTCCGAAGGCCGAGGGAGCGTTAGTTCTCTGGAAGGAGCCCGGGTGACTTTTTCTCCACCTTCCTCGCTTCCGGTTCCTCCTCTTTCTCTTACTCCTCCCCCTTCTCCACCCTCTATCCACACAATAGGAAAACTGAGGTAAGTGTCTAGGTTAGTGGCTGCCTGGTTGAATTTTATTTTCTGGTAAACTGGTTACTTTCTAGCATAAACATAGTATAAGACAATTATTCATCGTTTCTCTGAAATTCAAATTGAACGGGGCCTGCTGTAGTTTCAAGTGTCGAATCCAGGGCTGCTGCCCAGGTCCCCTCTCTCCCAGGCCCTGGTAGAGGACCTCCTTCATAAAGTGGCTCACAGCTGGTATTTCAGGCTGGAGGCAGCTGGCTCTGTGAGAAGGGACTTTCTTCTGTGGAGCTGGATGCACTGGTGTTTGTTGGGAAATAACATTTCTTAGGGCAGAAGAGATGGCTATTATTTTCTCACATGGCCAGGAAATAGGTGCCATCGAGATGACAGAGGACCTCATGCAAGCCCCAATTGAGAATGCTAAGCAGCGACCAGAAAACCCAGATAGACCCTGGCCGACTCCTAAATAAGAGTTCTCCCCTTACAACCACTGTTCCTTTCCAAGGTTCCTTGTTTCTGGAGTATCTACCATGTTTTATGTAACTGAACTTCAAATGGCCTTGAGATGTCCACATGTTGAGTTTATCTCTGGAGGATTTCCCACTGAAGAAGCACAATGGAGACACAGTTCAATCGGTTACCATAATACTTCTCTCTATGTGGTTAGGACACCAATGGCAACTTGGTAGATCAGCTCACCAGTTCTTAGGGCTACTCACACATACATACATTCCTTTGGTGGCAGAAGGAGTTTCTATGCTACCCTTCTCCTCCTGCATTGTGAGTCACTAGGGAACCACTTTCTATTTTAGAGAGCATTTCCATTCCCTTATATTATCACAAGACTCCACAGTATGGTATACCAGTCTGACTACGGTAATAATGGTGTGAACACCGCATTCACATGTCAGTTTACAGTCTTGAGACTGCAACTTTGAGATAGGATTAAAAAATGGCAAAGGTGAGCATATTGTGATATTCCTAGATGTTACCACATCACCCTCAACAATGTCAATTTTGCTCTCCCATCATTATTGGAGGCCAGGGTAGTGTCTACAAGAGGCAAAAATGCCTTGATTCAGAGGCAAGTCTTGACACGCTGGCACTCTGTCTCCTCTGGGTGCTAGAGTTCTTGCTTCTTTTTTCGCCTAGTGAATTTCACTGTTTGTTCAGCAAACTTGAGCTTAGCTGAAATACCAACTTCTCACAGAAGGTTTTCTTGGATTCCCTGGCTTGTCAGCCCCTGTTGTCTGCTACTAAGGGAACGTATTTCAGTTTTAATCTTGTATTTACTGATTTGTCATTAATATTATCTCCTCTACTTATTTCCATGCCATATGAAATCTGAGATAGTCTATAGGTCCAAATGCAGATGTTTAGAAGGCAACTGACAGACACATCACATATTTCTAATGAGGCAGTATGAGTAGCCTTCCCACCGGGACATATATTCTCACCTTAGCTTCTGTGGGAAACCCCAGTAAACTCATTGGGTTACAATACTGAGCTTGGGTAGAATCACTTGTTTGACCTGTTATTGTCCACCTGCTTATTCTTTTGGGGTAAATTAACCCAGAAAAGGCCATGCAGCAGTCTTCATATCTGAAAAGACTGAGAAACAGTTGAGAGTGGGCACAAAATTGCTCACTTGCCACCATAGAGAGACGGTGGTGTTAGCCCTGTGACCAAAATACTCTTTGGGAACCTAGAGGAGTCTATCTTCTAGAAGAAAGACAGACACAGGTGCACAGTATGCTCGCATCTCTCTCTCTCTCTCTCTCTCTCTCTCTCTCTCTCTCTCTCTCTCTCTCCCCTCCCCCCTCAGGCAGCATGACAAGGGCTGTGTGAGCTATTTGAAGCAGGAGGAACCCCCTTGTACTGGTTGACAAAACTTAGAGAGCCAGAAATGGTCTGTGCCTTGAAGGCAAGGAGCTCTATTCCAAGAATAGAGGGAGGATTATGGAGATGCAAAAGTGCAGGGTGTGGTGTGTAGAATGGGAGAATATTTGGTGGGGTAAGAGCCCAGGGTATATGATGACAGGCAGGTGCTTGAAGTGAGCCTAAAGTTTATGGCCAGATTATGAGTAACCTCATGCTGTTTATTAGAATCTGAATTTGTGTTCTCTGGCTTTGACAACACATAATTTCTTTCTTTTTTTTTTTCTGGTTTTTCGAGACAGGGTTTCTCTGTGTAGCTTTGCACCTTTCCTGGAACTCACTTTGGAGACCAGGCTGGCCTCGAACTCACAGAGATC